ATTCGTCCACTGTGAAGCGAGATATGGCAGCCTAACAGATGTCACCTAGCTAAGACAATAATAACTTCACATTCGGGCGAAGGTCACCTGAGTCGAACCACTGTTTCCCGCATTAAGTAAAAACTCGAGGATTTTGCAAACTTCATATACGTTGTGAATGCATATCATTTTTATTTCATTTCGTAATCTCCACCTCTAACAACAAGGCAATGCAATAATTATGACTGACTAGTGTGTAACCCGTACAGAATAAGGAAAAGACTGACGCTGGGAAATGCTCTGATAAATATGAGGTACAACATATTAATGCTATGAAGGAGATCAAGCTGCTAAACGGAACTGCACAGAATCACAATATCGAGAGCTGCGCTGCTCAACCATCAGTATTTGAAATTCAAAACGATTGGAAGTACAGTCACTCTAATGTGTATCCAGCAGGTGCTGGTGAAGGAGAAAGAATCTGAAAATTGACATGATATCGAGGTTGTTTTAGAGATGAATGAGGTTTACCTGCTTCAAGGTATCCTCATGATGAGACTTATCGTAGCCAGAATCAACCATTGTAGATCTGTAACAACAAAATCTCATGGTCAATGTGGTTCGGGCAAAAAGCAACAACTACCCATTTTCAACAGTTTAAGATTCCCTAATGCTTTGAGAGTCATTCTGGTAGTTACTCTGTCATCAAGTTAACTTCACTCACCGACTAGAGGTCGAGCGCGTGTCAAAGTCGGAAGGTAGTAAGCCACATACTGATCGAACATGGTCATAAGGCTCATCGACAGGTGTATGTGTTTCGTGTATTTCCCTAAAAAGTCTTCAGGGCAAATTGAGAAAGCGACAGATATCCTATCGTTAGTTGAATTTCGAAAAGGGTATACAGGTATTAGTCGATCTAGTAGTTTGGGTGCTTATAAACGAACGCTACTACAGGAGGATTAGAAATTTAGCAACTGCTGTCGTAATTTATAATGTTTGAAAAATTGGTTACAAAGAATGTGAATATAACAAGGAACTTTGAGCTGGTCGGTGTAACTTATCATTTGCAAGGTCGACTCACCGTAAGCTGGTGTAGGATGGAGATTTGACCGATAAGTTGTTTGCAATAGCGTTGAAAGGGGATGAAAGCTCTTTGAGAAGAGATAGAGGTTGTATGTCTAACTAAAAGATCTGAATTGATAAGGTGTAGAAGACACCACAAAATCAAGTAATGCATATACAGTAGTTCAGGATTTTAACCTATGCATCTACCTGTTTTCTAAACTAGTTGAAATTTTGATGTGCTTAGCTTGATTTAAGTTGAAGCTAAAGCAATATGGTTTTGTGAAACGTTCGGACAGTTTCGCCTTATTCATCGCTTTACTTCGATCCATATAGGCCTGCTGTATTTGTGTGTATCCTTGACTCTATGTCTCTGTTTATAATTTATTCCTACTCTAATCTTATTTGAAAAACAGTGAGCTTGTTTCTAATTACAAAAGTTCTGAAGAACGAAAGCTGTGGAGAAAAGTCTACCCCTCCTTACCTTCGGAGGGGTCCTCCATAGCCTTGATGATTGCACTAATTTTGAAGGCAGTAGTGGTTCGTCATCTTCTATCTGGAATAAATAAAATTCAGTAAAATACAAATGAAACCCTGGAGCAAGCTAGCAGACGATGAGCAAACGCTATGATCTTTACGAACAAGAAGGGCGATACTGCAGTACAGCTTGAGCATTTGCAGTCAACTTTATGCGTATGTGATGCAAGACCGATGAAGAATTTGGCAGGCCAAATTTACAATATCGAATGTCTTCCATCACTGGAAGTGATTTTGCACACCAAGCGAAAGCTTTGATGATTTTTGAAGGATTGTACACTAAAGCTTTCAAGCTTCGAATGCACACGATATTAATCAGCTACTACACTTACACGATAATATTTACATAAACACTTAATTTTACCATAGAGATGTGTCAAGTTTCTCAAATCTTCTACGATAGCGTTTATAGTACTAGAAATTGGAATTTTAAATAAACGATACTAGTTTTTAAGCTTATATCTCAATCCCAGCAACAGTATATCTAATTTTGATAAGTTTTCAAACTTTCTGAGTGTAAAGTTGGTGAAAAGTTTGGTCGTCAAAGTTAGAGATTCTTTCAAGGTTTTACAAAAAACAAGTAATTTATTGCCTGCCTCTAAAGCAAATGCCTTTGATAAAT